CAATTTTTATTTTTTTATTATTCCAACAGAAACATGTAGTAGTTTTTCTGTCTACTTCTGAATTCCAGTTTATCAAAACCAGAGCATCGAGAAAAGCAGCAACGTTTCCGTCTCGTTGCTTGTTTAATAAATAGGATTTTCTGTCTTGCTTTCAGAGCTGAGGCCTCACTTCAGCCTGGCCTCGGAAAGCGACGCGGCCGACCAGGACGACTTCGACGACGACGCGGAGCCCGTCAGAAACTCCACCCACCAGAGCCGCGCGCCCGCCGTCGTCGCCCAGGACGACACTGTGGCGACGTCCGGCGTGAGCACGCTCAGTTCCACCGTCTCCCACGAGTCCCACAACGCGCAGCGATCCGTGAACATGGAGCTGGGCCGCATGAAGCTGGAGACCAACAGGTGGATACTGATAACACCTGCATGACTGGTCTGGTGGTTTTTATCGTCTCCTAAAATAAATCTCCTGTGTGTTTCTGTCTCTGTGGTTGACTGCAGGCTGCTAGAAGAGCTGCTGCAAAAGGAGAGAGAGTATCAGGCCATCCTGCAACAAGTGCTGGAGGAGAGAGAGCAGGAGATCCGACTGCTGAGGATGCGAACTGAGCCTGCAGGTCTGTTCTTTAATGAAACCAACTCAATCTGGCTGTGGTTCAACGTGCATAAAAAAGTGTGATCATACACATCCATACACACAAAGATGGCACTTTTTTATCAGCTTCTTGAGGTGCAAATTGGAGGATTTCAGGCTATATCACATATTTCCTGACTTTCTATTGAGCTTAATCAATTGGCTTCCTTCAAACTAACACTCTGCAGATTTTGCACACAAGTTTAAAGGTTTATGCATAAGACAAGTGTTTTGTTCTACTTCCTCCATTTGGGTCTCAACTGCTTCTAAAAACAGTCCAAGTGCTAAAAAGGTTTTCAGTAATAACTTAAATGTTTTTTGGTGTCTGGAAAATGAGCAGTTTCAAAAACCTTCCAAATGTAATGTCACAAATCAGTAGGAATTACCCTGTTACCTAGCAACCCCAGCCGAGCCCTGCTCATCACCTAGCAACCCAACCCAAGTTTTAACACATTTGGTCAGCTAGTTTTATTGCTGTATGCGCTGTACAATGGCTGCTGGAAAGAGACAATTGTTGTTGATTTACTATCCAGAAACCACTTGCTGCATTCTTTTTGGTTGTGCAGGAGGCTCCACTTCTGCTTATCAAGAATAAATGTTGACTTGGGGGCGTGGCCAGCAGCAGCTTATTTGGATTAAAGTGACAGAGGACCTAAAACAGCTCATTCTGAGAAGAGCTCAAAACTAAAATCTCATTATATTTTATGTTTTGTGTTGCCCATAAACCTATCCAAGAGTCCAAGGAAGCAGAACAGGTCACCTTTTGAATAGCATGCTTTATCATTCAGTTTTGGAAACATCTTCTTGGGTACTTTTCTTTAAATAAATGCAAAAATTTTCTCTGCTCTAGAACCCCCCACCGTGTCAGAAAGCTCACAGGATCGGAGAGGTGAAGCTGCAGAGAGACATGAAGACCCCGAGCTGACCGGCTGGCTGCGGCTTTCCGGAGCTGACCAGGATGCTATAGACAGAGTAAAGACATTCTACTTTTTATCTCCTCATTACAGGAATAGGTGGTTGTTAAATTAATCTTTATTTTTTCTTTAGATACTGAATGAGGAGTACACTTTAAATGACATCCTTCATTATGTGACAAGAGACGACCTGAAGAGTTTAAGGCTGAGGTAGTTACACATTCACTCTTTACTGTAACTAAGTCTCAGTTTCACTTCTGTGTTCAGTCACAGAAATACAAGCAGACGATTAAATATGTTCTCTACAGGAATACAGAAGTGAAGCTGCAGCAGCTGCTGGTTGCATCATTTTGCATCATGGGGTTTTACTCTGTTGGCACAGAAAACCTTTACACTGGTCTTCTGGTTGGGATCAGAAGTTCAATAGCTTAATGGCTTTATTTAGAAATATAAAGGGGGAAGCTCTGAAATTGTGTTTTCTGTGAATTATGCTTATCAGCTCTAACTGGATGAGGAAGTTCAGTAGCCCTGGAACCTGATTTGTCTTTCTGTGCAGTGAAAATATTCATACCACTCAAACTTAACCACTTTTTGTCATGTCACAACCACAAATTTCAACATTTTAACACTTAAGGGAGAAGTGAAAGGAAAAGGAAACATGCTTATCTTGTCAACAGACTCTCCTGGCTAAGCTGAAGAAAAACAATCCTACAGAATGATGCTGCCTTCACTGTGTTTTACTGCAAAGGTTGTTGTGAACACTTAGTTTTCAACCACAGATCATTTTGTACTTGAATTAGAATTAAAAAAAGAAGCTTAACACCCTACTTTTTAGATATTAATGTCTAAATTATTTCTAAATCTATGAATCCTTTATCTTCCAATTTAAAATCTTGCTTTATTTTGTTATGAATAATATAAGTTTTGTTGCAAAAAGACAAAATGGGGAAAAGTTTAGAGATATGAATCATTTTGTAAAGCGATATTTGGCGCCACCTAATGGCCTTGCTAAAGAATACACTTACACGTCTTAGCCTATAAATATTCTTCTCTGTAGCTGTAGCAAACACAAACATCTTTGTTTTGTTTTTTTATCCAGTCCATGAAATTTTTTCTGATTCTTATTCAGGTTTTTGCACTGATTGAATTTATCTTCCCTTGTTTGGTCATAATAATTAGCAGTAAGCAACTTAATACCATGTCCTGTTACTTTTCCCTATTAATTTTCTATTAACTCAGCATTTTAAATTGGACTGCGAGTTGTACGTGTTTTAAAGCTTCTTGAATATCAAATGTATAATAATCAATTAAAGTGGTGAAAGAAAGCATTATCATAATGGATTTTTAATAAGTGCAGTGTATTAGCTGCGATATCCTTTGATTTTCCAGCTTTTTCTCTTCTTGTTTCTCAACAGAGGTGGAGTTTTGTGCAAACTATGGAAGGCCATCACAGACTTCAGGCAGAAACCAGCCTGACACCTTTTCTACAAGAAACCAACCTCGATGTTACCTCAGTATTTTTAGGAACAACCAGACGTTTAAGAGGAGAAAACCTGCCTTTATTGGACAGCTTTCCAACCACACAAGAACCTTCTGGAAAATTTTTAAAATTTTCAAACCAAGATTATGGATTTTAGGAGATTTTTAAAACTATTTAAAAGAAAACAAAAAGTGCCACTTGTTTTGACAGGACTGTTGGGTAGAAAATGCTGTTTTTGTTACAGATCCACAATGACAATTATTGAAATGTTAGGCTTGTTTTTAGCAAAACATTTTCTCCAGATTTGTCGTTAAGTTTACAGAAGTGGAGCTTTTTAAAACGCCTGAGACGCAAAATACTACATCCAACATCATCTGTACTAATATTTTTATCACAAAATCTTATCACTACGTTATTTAAATACATTTATTGGACCTAAAGTCCAATACATTTTATTTAATTAAACTGTGGAACATGACAGTGCATGCTCCTTGGTTTTAGTTTTATTTTTTATTTACATATTTTCTTCACATTTCCTTTTAAGGAGCAAATTTACAGTTTTATTGCTAAATATATTCTTCTTGTAAATAATGTGTAATACTTCATCTGTGAATGAGTTTTATGTACTTTATTGAAGATATTGCTAAACATAGCTAAACCTCCATGTGAATCGGACCAAGCCAACATTATGAAGATAATAGCGTGTATATTATTATATTTTCTAGTCTCAGCTGTCATAGGAAGTAGCACTCAGTTGGTAATTAATTAATATAACATTATCTGATCATTGGCTTTTGTTGTTGTACACTGGCACAGTTGTGTTTATATCCTGCTTGCAATCCTTGAATCCGGTGTATTTTGTGGTGAAGATTCTGAAACAAAAACTGATTTCTCTTTTATGGATCTTTTTTAACTATTTTCTCTGAAATGGCGGAAATAATCATGAACAGTTTGTCAGTTTCATTTTATATTCAAGATGATTCAAGATTTTTGTGTCATTGTTAAAATAAAAATGTTTATGTTGAAGCTGTGAAAAAAGTGTGAATGTTGTATTTACATTTCCCTGCTTTTATAAGCGATTATACATTGATATAAAATTTAAATGTTTGCAGCTAAAAGCACAAGAAAAGTAACTACAAAGTGGTGAATTGTTAGAGATTGCAATGGTATTTAGTAACTGTACCATAGTGTGGGAACTATGGCCAGTTACAGACTTGAGAATAATTTCTCAACTTAAATAAGCAATTCTAATAAATCTGTAAAAATTAAATATATATATATTTTAAAGTAATACACTAATATTATTACCAGAGGGGGGGAAATGTACATGTATATCAAGGACCAAAAACAGAACAATTCAATAAATAAATAAGGTTATATTTATTGTTTTTATTATGTTTAATAATTTGTGTACTATTTAATTTATTACATTTAAACATTACATTATTTAAATGTAATAATTTAAGTGACACAAAATATGTAAATGGTATAAATAAAAACATTACCATTACTTAAATAATTTTTATTAAACGTCCAACTAAGTTATTCAATTCCATGTAATCATTTTGATCCTGCAGCACATTTAAATTAAGTCACATTTGTTACAGATAAGGTTATTGGACTGTAGTTAAACTGGTGTGCAGGTTGACCAATCAAATGTTTGTGAGCCATTTTGACAGTTTTAGGTACCAAAATACGGACTAAATAAATACTGAAATAATTTAATGATTTAAATATGCACCTGAAGTTTTAATGAGCATTTACAACTGTAATTTATATATTAAATAAATGTATTTTAACTTAAATTAGTTTGATCCAGTTTTACATGAGCTATCGAAGACTAAAATATTTATTTAACTATTTATTTATTTAGATTTTGGTTCTCGATTCATTACAATTGAGCTTCAGCAGGTGAATAGCTCGTCGCCATATTTGTTTATCAATTATCAGCGTGACGTCAGCGTTCTGCTCTCGCGACCGACCCTCCCTCACCATGACAACGGCAGATGACTATTAGCATCGTCGGGAGGCAGCCGTTACCTCCGCCGCCGGTGGTTCAGAGGCGTTTTTCCAAATAAGTCGTGATTTAAATCGGCCCGTCTGGTTCATTTTCATGTCGGAAGGTGGTTGGAGCTGATGGAGCCCCTCATGGCCGGCCGGAGGGTTTACCGAGCGAACAACAACAACATGGCTCTGCTTCAGCATCCCCGGCTGCTGCTCCCCGGGGTTTTCCTGCTGCTCTTCACCGGCCGCCTCCACGCCCGCTCCTCTCAGATATCAGACCTGAAGTCCAAGATCTCGGGGGTGGAGGAGCTGCTGGAGGAATTCCGGAAGCAGCTCCAGCAGGACCAGGCGTACAGAGCGGCCGACGTGAGCGACGCCTGCGTAGGCGACTTCAGCGCCGCGGAGCAGCGCATCATCCGGACAAAGGCCTCCATCGAGCAGGGAGCCGCCTTCCTGTTGGCCCCGGACAGGGTGTACACCTGGAGGGACTGCCTCCACGCCTGCTGCTCGCAGCCTCACTGCACGGTGGCGGTGGTCCAGGAGGACCTGCGGCGACCCGCGGACGGCCTCAGCTGTTACCTGTTCAACTGCACCTACCGGAACAAAAACATCTGCTCCTTCGCTCCACAGGAAGGCTTCACCACCTACAGCCGGACTCCGAACGGCACGCTGGGGCACCTGGCCGGAAGCGCCGCTGGAAGCACCGGGAGGCCCGGGCCAGCCGGGGAGGATGACAGCCCAGGTGGGAGCTCTCTGGATAAAACCTCAGCATTCATTCTTTGGGATTATAATGCTAACAATCATTCTTAAAGGTTGGCTTACAGGTAGTTCAATTATACTATTAAAAGTACTTTATTTATCCCCACAGGAAATTAAAAAATATCTGGGCTATTAACGGTAAAGTATTGTCAAAGTTGGGTAGTAAATAGTTACATTTACATTTTTTTAAATTTATTTACTTGTAGGAATATTTTTACTTCGCTGTTTTTACAAACAATCAACCTACACACACCTGCAGTTTTTAGTTTCATATTGTCAGAAACTGATTTGGGAAAAAATATTTGGCCTGATTTTGTTATTTATATGAATGACTTTGGTTTTTGAAATAATAATTAGAAATAATTTGATCAGTTACTCAATACTTTTTATCATACACTTTGTTACTCTTATTTTAGTAATTTCTTTTTGCCTGGTTTTGTTATATTTTGTTACTTATATGAATTATTGTAATTTTTGTCCTTAAAATTTCCACTTAACTTTATATTTTGATCCGTCTGATGATATAATTTTAAAATATTGAATGATTGGTAATTTGATCACTCAATACTTCAGTAAACTTTTTACCAAATATTATTTTATTGGATGCCTTTATACTTGAGTAAAAATATGTGGAAGTAGTGCTACTCTGCCCACCTCACAGTATTGCTAATCCACCTCATTTGCTTTTGCCGCCCCCTTTTCATTTCTGTCTGGTAAAGATCAAATATTTCCAGCTTCCTCTTTCTCTACACCTGAAGTCGTAGTTTAGTTTTGATTTTATTTTCTGCAGCTAATCCTAAAGTTTAATACAAGCAAAAAATGTTGCACATCATCCAAAAAATTATTTTTATTTAGAAAATGTTTTTTTTTTTTACGTTTATTTTCTATTTTGTCTTTAACTATGATAAAATAAATTAGAAATTGAGGCTGTACTATGGTGTGAATATTTTATTCAACCAATTAAATTAGTGGTAAAGTTTCTGGTCAACTTAAAATTAAGCTTTTAAGATGCAATTAGGAAGTGAAAAAATATAAAATTGTTATGAAAATTATACCAAAGTTGATTTTTGTATGTTCTGTGGTTCATGTTAGTTACTAGAAAATAGAAACATTTTATTAACTAGTTCCTGCTAACAATACTGTCTGTTTACTGGATTTGTTTTTTTTTTATTTCCTCAAAGAAAAATCAGCGTATTAGACACTGATAGTATTTTCTAGCAACTGAGGAAGCATTTCCAAACGTTTGCATATCAAATGTTTTATTTTGTCAATGTAAAGCATGGCAGCAAAATGGTGACCTTTTCACTGTAAATTTGGTTTAAATTTAGTATTAATAATGAGAATATGATTTATTCTACAGTAAAGCCTCTTTCTACCAGCCATGCATCTCAGCACATTGCAACTAAACATGATCAGCTGGTATTTCCCTGACAAGGCGCCACAGTTGGATTAATGATTGTCCACTTGTTATGTGAGATCAGGATGCTGAGAGCAGAACCAGATGTTGTGTAGCTTTAGTTGAAAGTCAATAAATGTAAAACAAGTGGTTAAATTTTCCTATTTCAGCTTTTGAGGAGCTAATCTTTTATGCTTTAAGTCACTAAAGTGAATATATTTAGTTTTCAACTTCCTAAAACATGCATGCTCACTATTTTCTGTTGATATAATTGAAATGTAATTTTTTTTCTTTAAAAACTATTTACTTGTGTTTTTGTTGGTCTGATTGAAAGTGGGGCTGCACCGATTTATCGGCACCAATATCCTTAATTCTGAGCGATTGGTTATCGGCCAATACTTAAATGTGAAGCTGATCTTATGCACCGATCTTATAGACCTCAGCAGAGGTGTGAAAATCAGACGCTGTCCTCTTCTACTCTCCCGTGACAGAAGTTTGACTGCCAGACCGGCCCACCAGGTCATGACTGCACGGTTGCAATTAACAATAGTCGCTTCGCTGTTTCCAATTAAGCAACTTTTAATGACATTTCAGACAAAAAAAATTGGTATCAGCCAAAATCGGAATCAGTCAGGCTCTTAAAGAGTATAAAACCTGCAATCGGTGCACCCATGAATAAAAGTCTAAACTTCTAATGTTCTACTCCATAACTTTAGCTTCAAGGCTTAATTGTAGTATGGTGGCATTAAGTTCTGCAGCAAAAGGTGTAAAAACGCAGGAGAGTTATTAATACGTTTTATGAAAAGGAACCAGAATCAATGTTTAGTCAAACTTAATAACCTAAAACATCACAGGACTAACCTCAGGTCTAATTCACAGAAACGGACGAGCCTCCGCGCAGCGATGCGGGCCAGGACGTGGTGATCCAGCTGCCCACCGACTGGGCCGTCCTGGACGGCAGGGACAGCGTGGACGACCACAGAATCACCCACTACGAGTGGACTCTTGTTAAAGGAGATACAGCCGTCAACATGAAGGTCTGTTTCACATTTTATCTGTCACTAAATTCAGTTAAACGGACAGGAGGGACGCAAAGGCTAAACACTGCAAAAACACAAAATCTGACCAAATATTTCTGGTCAAGCTTCTGGTAGTAATATCTTAAAGCTCACTGAAAAGTTTTTCAGTTTTTTCAGGAAGCTATAGAAGCCTGTTTTAAGTTAATAATTTGCTCATATTGATGAAAATGTTCAAGTTCTTTTGGCAGATAATTTCACTTTTAGCAAGATATTCTTCACACATAATTGAAATAATTACTTCACTTTCATTTTCATCAATATTAATGACTTTTCAATTTAAAACCCGCTCCTCTATCTGCCTGAAAAGTTACCTTTGAGTTAGTTTTGTCTCTTTTCAAATGCACCAAGATATTTGAACTAGAAACTAGACAAAAAATACTTGGTAATGTTCAGTATTTTTATGGTGTTCATTATAATAACTGCAAAACAAGTTCTAGGTGAAGGTATATCTTTAAAAAAACATACAGTTTTAATCTTGATGAACCAGGTGTACCAGGTTTGAGCCCCTTCTCTGGATCTGCTCAAACAGTCAGATGATGCAAATATTTGCTCTCCCGCTGTGGATGGTCAGGTTGTTGTTGTGACAGAGGGAATAAAGGCATGGATTTCACTTGAATGCACAGCTTCATATTTCCAAGCTGTATCAACAGAGATTAGATTTGGTTATGCGTTCACATCGCCCAGAGAAAAGCGGAAACATGAGCCGGTTTCAGAACCTTAGAGATCATTTTTTCCTGTTCTCCATTTATTTCTTTACCTTTAACAGAAAAAAAAACCATTAGAAAACATTACAGCAAATTTCTGTTTTCCTTTATATCCTTTGGTTTTTTTTCTTTAGCTGCTCCACTAACCCAGTTATTTACATTTTTACTATAAGAATTTGATGTCTGAACTAGAACTGGCCAATATGGTTTCAAAATAAAGTCTGACATTTTCATACCAGATCCGATTGCTAATTTTTATCAGTTTTTCTCTCTGCTCACTTTCTTTTCTAAACAAAGACAAAAGACAGAAAATGTTTTTAAAAGGTGGCTTTTATTTAGGCATCCCTTCTGTGAGTTATACGAGAATTAGGTCAGGCTATGAGAATTTCTGTTCAATTATGAGAGCTTAGTCATAGTATTAGCAGAAAAACAAAACAATTTTAACCAGAAAATTGTTGTTTTGAAAAGAAAAAAAATGCTTTAATGAGAAAAAAGTTTGAATTATCAGGATTTGATTTGAGCAACTTGTTTCAATTTTTTGATGCAAATGTGTCAAAAGATCAACTATTATTTGTCAAACTTAAGCGGTGTAATGAATAACGTCACAAGATGCTCAACATTCCTCGTTAAGTTTTTGTTATTTTTGGAGAAAAAGCATCTAGATTTTCCACAAATTAAATATTCAAAACCCAAAAGTTGAATTAATCAATAAAATCCCTCGTCTGAAACGTTGCATGCTTTATTTTGTTTGTGCACACTGAAGGCGACCCACCCAGGGCTGCTGAAGGTCAGCGGTCTCCAAGAGGGCGTCTACACCTTCCAGATGACCGTCACCGACTCGGCGGGGCAGAAGAGCTCCGACAACGTCTCTGTCACCGTGCTGGCACCCAAACACCAGGCAGAAGGTGAAAGGCTCACCAAAACTGTCTCCACTTTTGGTTCTGACTGTTGGGGAGGTTGAGTACTTAAACATATTTGTGTTCACAGTTTGCACTGGTGACTGCTCCAACTACCAGTTCAAGTGTGACGATGGCTGCTGCATCGACATCTCCTACGCCTGTGACGGGAGGCAACACTGTCCCGACCGCTCTGACGAAGTCTTCTGCACAAACTGTACATATTTTCATCCTTTACATTAGATATGCAAACAATTAATCGATTTATGATTAATTGTAAGTTAATGTTTTATCAGATTAAAATTAGTTTCAATCAATTAACTTATAACATCTGCTTAAACCTTCTTTTAATGTTGTAATTTAGCCTCCATCCAGCAGAGGGCCACACTGAAGCAAAGTCAGCTAATATAGGATTAAAGAAGATATTAGAACAGAAAAGAGAAACCGTCCAGTTTGGAGTGCAAAATTCACTTTATGCAGTTCTGTTTTGAAACATAAACGCTCCACAAACTCAACTTTTACCTTAATGGTGCTCATTCAGCCGAGCTGCGACTGAGTGAGTCATTAGGGCCGATTTAGATACAAAAACCGAAACAAATTTCTACTAAAACAAATTGTAGAAAAAAACTGACAAATTTCTGAGCTCCAAAAGTCAAAAATGTGATAGAAAATTTTCAGATTTGACTCAAATTTTGTAGAAAAAAACTCCACATTTCAAAAAATTCCAAAATTAAAATTTTGTGATTAATCTCAAATTAAGAAATTTTTCACTTTTCAAACTTTGTCTTTTCAAAATTCAGAAGCTGAATGTTTCAACTTTTAAAATTTCCATGTTTTTTCTAGACCATTTCTGAGATTAATCTCAAATTTCAGTGTTTTTTTTGTAAATGTGTGTCTTTCCAAACTCAGAAATTTAAAATTTTTATTCTAGAAAATAAAGGAGATTAACTTACAACTTTCCAAGTTTTTTGGTGGAAATTTACCCCTATTTTTATCTACATTGGCCCTAATATGCCGTCGGAGTGTGGGATGTAAAATACACTTTATGTGATTTTGTTTTAAAATATAATCACTCAAAAACAAGAGAAAGTTCAGGTTTTTAAGAAAATGGCCGCTTAGGATCAATAACTTCCTGCTTTGAATGAAATGATTAAAAAGGTTTTATCTGATCCCTGTGGGGTTTTTTTTTAGTTGATGGTGGCCGGAAGTCGGTGACCCACCCGGTGAATCCGCTCAGCCCTCAGATGCCCGCAGTCCGGACCGAGCAGGCTGACGGCGCCGCCGTGCTTCCAGAGGCGTCCAGGAAAACAGTCGTATCAGCTGTAGACGGGAGCAGCGCTGTTCCTGTTCAGAGCCTCACTGAGCAGCAGCCCGCGTCTGCTAACCAAGGTTGGAAGAAGGTTTATAATCGAGTTAAAGGACATCGGTGTGATGAGTCTACTCCGGTTATTTGTTTGCTAAACAATAGGATGCACTCCTTAGTGCTTTATCTTTGTTGTAGAGCAGCGTGTGCGGATATGAAAGCAGATGGCGCCTACAGGCGGCCGCTGAGCCAACAAACCACTCAGCGTTTCCTGGGAAAGCAGCTCTTAGCCTGCATCCCTTCTTAGTGCCAGAACAAAGCTCCCCTGTCTCTGATGCCATCTGATCCCTGCATTAGACCGAGACCGGCCAAAAGGCCGCCTGCACCACTGCTGTTTTAACACACTATGCGTATTATATGCCTGAAGTGTGTTCTCTAAAGAATGAAGCTAAAGAAGAGGAGAACACATTTTTTGGTCTGATGATGGTTGAACATGTCATAATCACTTTAAGGAATTATTTACTGAAAAGATGTTAATATTTCTGACTTAAAAGTTACTGTCAGTTAGTTTTTTTTGTATTTCAAGTGTACTAACATATTTGCACCAGAAACCAGACCAAGAATATGCGTTTTAAAAAAAATAAAGAAAGATTATTATTGAAAGTGAGTCATTTAGAAAAGAAAAATGAGCAAAATGTCAGTTTGCAGATGCACAAACCTGGTCGGGGTTTATCCCAAAGGCCGGCTGGGATTTCAGTGAAAGCTGGTTCTTTAAAGTCTAGATTCAGGGACTGAATATATGAACTAAAAGGAAATACATAAAAAAGGAAGCAGTTCATACTTATCCTTCTTTGTAATAATTTTGCTTTACTTGGTGCTGTTCTATCATACAATCCCAGTAAAATTGTGTGAATTTGTGGTTTTAACAAGACAAAATGTGAAAAAGTTTCAAGGAAATTAATATTTATGCAGTATTTTTGCGAGGTGATGTAAAATAATACTTGAAACGTGCGTCGTGTGCGCCTGTTTCTGCAGATCCGTGCGCTGCAGATCCGGTCGTTGGCCCCTGCAAAGGCACCTTCCCTCGGTGGTTCTACGACCAAAAGGCCCGAGACTGCAAACACTTCCTGTACGGTGGTTGCCAGGGCAACCACAACAACTTCCTCCAGGAGTCAGACTGTGTCAGCGAGTGTTTGCAGAAAAGTAAGAAGATGCGTCGTTCGATTTTTACCCATTTCTTTTAATCGCAAGAATCTGAAGATGTATTTTCACACTGATGTCGTCTTTCAGGCTCGGCCGTCAGCCCAACCAGGGCAGCCGCCCCCCTCACGAAGCCGACCGGGAAAGGTAGAAATAATGTTCACCAGCGATTATCTACTCTGATAATTCACTGATTAATCAGATAAAAATGGCTGATTCTTCAGAGTTTTCATTTAGCCATTTAAGCCTTTTTAAATGCAATATTAGAGGTACATTAAAAGATACAAGTAAACAAATAATTCAATTCTTTTTATGAAAAATTAAATATTTGATTGTCTGAAATGCATTTCTTTAGTAAATTACAAACAGTGTAGCTTAATTACTGCTCTGAATAAGTTGTTTTTAAGTAAATGGTGTTTATTGTAGTCTATATCCTCTAATTAACGATTATTTCAGGAATCATTTAATCGCAATTAATCCAATTAATTACTTCAGCCTTACTGTGGTCTTATAATTAGTTATTTTTTTCTGGTGGATTTTAAGATTTTACTTTTATCCAGGAATTTACAGCATATTTTCTTATAATTCTGCGCAAAAAAAATCCTTAAATTGTCACAGAAAATCTGAGAAAAGCCTGATTGTTGCACCTCAAATAACTATGAGGACATTTGAGTTTGTTTACTCCAGTTAACGATTATTTCAATGATTGATTGATTGCAATTCATCCAATTAATCTTTTAATATGCAGAGATTATGCAAACTTTCAAACAGAATTCAGCTTCATTATTGCTTTTTTTCCAGAAAATAACCTTTATTTTAGTCTGTATACTGGACTTCATTATTTGATTAATCATGATTAATCGTTTCAACTCTAGTTTACTGGCTAAAGTCTTGTCTGCATTAATTGTTTAAGCTGTGCCTAAAGTTTCCAGAACCCAAGCAGAGAGTAGCGACATAATCTCCAAACCATTTCCAGTGAAAGGAGGACACCCAGGCCCGGAGTCAGGTGAGTCCGGTTATCGCTGCTCATATTTGCATTTTAATTTCTCTGCTCTGCAGGTGAAGGTCTTGTTTCTTTTCCTTCAGGTGCAATTCTTCCTCTGGCGCTCGGCATCCTCATCACTGCCCTGCTGCTGCTCATGATCGGCTGTCGCCTCAGACTCGTTCGTCACAAGCTGAAGAAAGCGCGACCGCTCACCACCGAGGAGTCTGACTACCTCATCAACGGCATGTATCTGTAGCCCAGGAAGTTTCTCAAAGCTTCGCCTCAGATTTAAACAACCACACGCTCTGCTGCCCTTAAAAAAGACAATCTAATTGCAAATCAATGAAAATGTATTGTTTGCTGTTTGAAATTTAAATTAAACCAAACAACCCGATAAATTACATGTCATTGTTCAGCTTTTCCTCCTGCAAGTCTGGCACAAAGCGCCACTTCTGCCACTAGGTGTCACTAATGTGCCATGTTTGTGCTGCACCTGTTACCACAGCTAGCTTGGACCTATGAAAGACGAGTATTTGGTAACCATGGTTCCCGTCCGTCCATCCTGTTCCGAGTCTGGATCGGTTAAAACAAACCGGGTCCCGCGAATCTTCCTGTCTTTACAGCATGGTTTGTTTTTGTGATAAATCATTATGGCCATATTTGATTTAATGTTTTAAATAAAATAAATAAAAGTATCCCAAGGAAAGGAATTTTACAATATTGTGGCTATTTGAATTAATTTCTTTTCTTTAAGATTGCTGGGGAATTTATTTGCCCAGGGATGTGTGAATAAAATACAACGTTAATATATCTGTAGATAAAAAAAATATATTTCACAAAGACAGATATAAATGAAAATGCATATTACATAAATATTACTAATAATTTTGCAGAATTCTAAGTAAACTTTGAGATTTATTTAAGGTTCTGCACATTTTTTTTAATAAACCTTTGAGAAATATCTACTTCACAAATAATTTTTTTAAAGTACTAGGATTTTATCTCAAGTTTTAGGATTTAAAATAAATATGAGGACAGGTATCTTTTTTAACAGCAGATTGATTCCAGTATATTAAGAAAAACATATAACCACTTCTTTTAGTGCAATACTACAGGAGAAAAAAAAGGTTGGAAATGTACATTTATCATTAATATATCTGTATTTAAAAATGCTAATTAGCACCTTTTAATTTTTAGCCAAAGTTGTTAAGAGTGGTTTAGATTTTGTTATTTTTTGTAAAATTGGAACAATGAAATGCTACAAAACCTGCAGTTTGTTCCTATCTACATTAACTGGGGGAAAAAAAACGAAACAAAGAACTGCAAGAAAAACATAAACATCTCTTTATTTTTATATCCCATTCCAGATACTGTGAAAGCCAAATATCATCAACCACTTCAACCCCTCTAAATAAAATGTGCTTTGTTGTGTGTATTATTCTTTTTTTCTCCAAGAAAACAGACATTTGCTTTATATTGTTGAAGTTTATTTTGGCAAAGCAGTGACTCTCCTAGTTAGTGATCGCACACGTCGGAAATGGAGACCAGCGGCAGCAAACGACACGTCACCCGGTGGGAAGCGCAGCCCTGTACCTGCATGCGGTTTGGTGAGTTAGGTGCTGTTTCTGAACTTTATCCAGAGAGTTGAGTGTTTCATACGTGACCTAAAGATTCTGCACATCAGCCACGATGTTGTTCGTGTTTTCTAATACTGCTGGAAGGAGTTTGAGGGGAAAACAAGCTTATATTTTAGCAGAAAAATCTACAGTTAGATGATCCACACACACACACACGCACGCTGTAGCTCAGTGAATTATCTAAAAGTCTCCGGTGTTTTTGTTCTGCTTTCCTCGTACATTCAGCTTTGACCCTGCTGAAATGTAATGCAAAAACACCAGACTGCAATTGCAAAATGAAAAATAAACCCAGCAGTAAAAATTAAATTAACCAAATGATGGAGGCCTGGAAATAAAAAAGAAGAAACAAAAAGCCCATCTTGAATATTTCTGCATGGAGCTTCAAGCAGTCTTTTCCTTGCAGCCCTTTAAGGGCTGTCAGTGTTATTTCTCCAGTCCCTCTTTTGTCTCGAACAAAAACAAAATAAAGCATGTTTTATAATGCTTGAAACAAAATATCAAGGCTTGCTGATGCCATCCGAGTTTTCCCCAGGTTTCAAACTTAAAGGTGGATTATGGCTCGTCTTCTGATTCAGAGTTCATCCCTGTGAAAGACAGACCAGGAACGTTAGAACAGGAACATGAGAGGAAACACCAACCTGTCATGCAAACCGTGAAGAACCGCATGCAGAACGATCAGATTAAGTGTCAAACAGCAGCCGGTCTGAGGCCACACGGCTTTTATTGGGTAGTAGGCAACCAAACCAACTAACTATTCATGCTTTAAGCACCTCCAGGATCGCTCCTGTTACGTAACATTTTGATTCCAAACAGGAAAAAAAAGAAAAGAAGATAAAACCAGATTAGTGGGTGAAGAAAGTGTTAAACAAAAAAAGGGGAAACGTGCAGCTAGTTGGCATGGTATGGAAGAAGCAAAAAATGTCAACAAGCAGCAAAATGCAGCCTCTTGTGCTCCATTGTCTGCTCCAAGCCACACCATTTCACCTTTGCCACTGTGAGAAGGAGAGAGAGGGAGGAGGGGGAGAAGGAAGTCACTTCCACCTGGACCACTGCTTGTCTCTGTCTGTTAAAGGCACATAAATCACCCCCATCAAGGGCTTCATCTTGGTGCTGCCGTCCTCCAGCTTGTCGTATTGCTCCAGCATCTGGTTGCCTCCAGCCGGGCCGACCGGGAGAATCAGACGCCCGCCGGGCTTCAACTGGTCCAAAAGCTGAAGAGGCAGGTGAGAAGAGCGTCAGTGTAGCTATTCTTTAAAAAATAATAATAAAAAAACAGCAACAAGGCATTCTGGAAGTTCAAATCTGCTTTGGCTGACTTACTATATACGAGTCAGCCAATCAGATTTGAATCCCATTTCTGAGTCACTGAGAGTGAAACTAAATTATTTAGTGTCTCCATCTTAAAAATAGCAGATTGTGGCAAAAAGGAACATTCTCAACCACATGTCAAATAAACTTTAGTAAAAAAATAAACAAAAAGTCTTAAGAACTAGAGCTGTAGTGATAAACTAATCTCACGATACTCGATATTCTGCTCACAATACGATATATATCACGATCAACCCAAACGATACAATTCCACACATTTTTAAGATTTTCTGAAAGATTTTAGGGAGCAGAATAATTTTGGTGAAGTTTTTTTATATTTTTAAAAACTAAACATTAATTGGTAACATTTACTTATTACCCAGCTTTCGTATATATATATATATATATATATATATATATATATATATATATATATATATATATATATATATATATATATATATATACACACACACACATATTTCTCATTAAAACCTTTACTTTATACTGTTGGAGTTCATTGTGGTAAAGCAGTGAATCTCCCAAAAAAACAAAAGAGCATGTCATCTAAATTAGATAAACAGGATAAAATCTCTGCTTTAAAACAGCAACGCTGCTTTTTGTTTGTTTTATAGACGGTTTTCATTTGTTTGAAGTAAAGTGAGAGCCTGATGTTCAGCAGGACTAAGGAGTCAGAACGACTCACAGCCTGGGGGACGGTGGCAGCTGCTGCACCAACATGGATGGCGTCATACGGCGCCTCCTCTGTGTGACCCATCCTCCCGTCGCCCACTGGAAGAAACGCAGCAGGAAATCAGGCTACCAGACTCACCACAACACCGACAGTCAGACACTGACAACACCACACCTTTTACCTTCAATCATTTAACAGTTATAAATCATAAACTGGTCAAAAAATGTGAATTATTCTGAAAATAATGGTGGAAACATTTAGACAATTAGTACTGAAAAGATTAATCAAATTAATTGTGACAAATTGATTATTGAAATAATCAGCATCTAAATTAGTAATCAATTAATTGTTAAATTGAATAAAAAGCTATTTAATGACCAAAAAAAAGAAGACATTCAGGGGAGATTTTGCATTTAAGATAAAAAAATAAAAAACAATCCTGTCTGTAAATACAACCAGAGGATGTGTTTATATTCTGACAGGAAATTGACTTAAAAAATCTCTTATTGATCACCTTTTGCTTTCTTATTATTAATCTGTTAATCCAGACATTAGCTGTACACTGAGCTGCTGTCAGAAAGGCTCATATCTTTTCTAATAGTGTAAAAAAGGCTTGAGTGGTTCGTAGGGATTCTGCAGAATGGGCCAGTTTTTTCAGATCGTCACAATTAATCAATTACTAGAATATTTATGATATTCCAATCATGTTGTAGCTTCAACAGAGAACGCAAAAGAAATGGATTCTTTATTTCAGCTACAACTATAATCGCTCCAGTTTTCATCCCGTTTCATCAAAATTTATTTTAAAATCTAAGTTTTATAAATCTGTCAGAAAGATTAAGCAAGTTTATCAAACAATAAATAAAGTTTATTTTTTATGTTCACTCGTATTGTGGTATACATGATATTTTTTTATTTCTATACATGCTACTTGCTGAAATTTGATTTGTCAAAGCACTTGAAACCCAAAGGACCCGTTTGCAGCTGCACTTTCACCCTCCTGCAGAGATGGTGAAAGTACTCACTGCTGAATTATTTAGAGCTGCAGACTCTCTGTTGAGCAAATCCATCCTGCAGAAACGATTGGAGCTGCAACATGATGAAATGAATCCAGAACGTATCTGTCGTCCACCGTGTCTCACCTATTAGCTTGACTCGGCCCGATGTTATCAAGTTGGGGTCGTCTTTCTTCACGTTGTTTATAGAATCGTCTACCAGCTCTTTGATGTGATCAATTCCTATAACTTTCCCTTTAGAGCCTACCTGGAGAGCACAGAACAGGTTCAGTTCAAACAGGAACCACAAACCACTAAAACCATTTCACACCATTCTACTGCGATTGGTTGGGTCACAAAGCTGCGTGCTAAAACTCTGCCAGACGCTGCCAGAGAAATTGCTTTCTGTGTGTGGCTCACCATTCGTGCGAAGCAAACGGACAGGATTCCACTGCCGGAGCCGACGTCCAGAGCTTTGGCTCCCTCATGCAGCTGATCGTGTAGGAGCTCTAGTGCATAGGCGTGCTGGGAGGTCGGAGCGTCCAGAAAAACAAAACAGAAACAGACAGGGGAGCGGTGAGCTTCAACACCGGACTGACACTGGTTTTCATCAATATTCAAAAATAGCGGCTTTTTCTTTTGTCTGACAAGCTGATAAATGTAGCAGAAGAAAAGGGGAACATTAGAAATGCAAATCTTTCAGTGTCTAGAATTTAAATTCGATACAAATTTTCTTCTTAAATAAAAAATTAAAATTATTCAAGATACAAATCTAGAAAAAAATTAAGAGACCACTTACAATGATCAGTTTCTCTGATTTTAGTTTGCGTTTGCGTGTGTTTGAGTAAAATGAACATTGTTCTTCTATGAACTACTGACAACATATCTCAGAAATTCAAAGTAAAAATTTGGTATTCATTAGCAGAAAATGAGAAATGGTCAAAATAATTTAAAAAAATGCAGTGATTTCAGACCTCAAATGATGAGGTCTGAAATCACTGATGTTTTAACTCAGGAAGAGTCCAGGAATCGATATTTGGTGGAGAAACCAGGAGGTTTGCAATGAGGTTCAGTGCTGTGGACTCTTAATTTTTTACAGAGCTGTCGATACGGTACAAATAGGAAGCAGCAAAGACGTACGCTTTAAAAGTCAATTTATTAGCATTTTGAATCGATTCTGAATTCAGGACTATGAATTGCGATTCTCTATTGCATCAGTTTCACGTGTAAGTTTGGCTGAAACGATCGGATTAATTGTGGTGAATTTAGTAATCAATCATTATCTGGAGCATGCAGACTCTAAGCAACACAGAGAAGTAATTAAGGTAAAACTGTACAAAAATGTACTTGTTGCATTTAAAATTAAAAACCTTCTTTGCTTGTAAATATGCCCTATATTTTTTATAAGAAAAATAGTCATGTGATTAGTGTTACCCTGTATTGATGTTTATTTTTAGCTGCAGATGCATCCTTTGCTACAAATCATCAAGCGTATACAAAAGGAATGCAACTTCATTGAATTTTAGGCAATAAAATGCAAATTTTCTTTTTAAAAAATTATTGTGTATTTTCTATTTTTGATATTGTATAATATTAGCTTAAGTGGATAAATTTTCTTGATTAGCCATCACTAAAATAATCAGAATTAAGGAAATCAAGGCCAATTTATTGGTGCACCTCCAAATTTCCCCAAAAATAACCACAAAGTACTGACACAACAAAGGTTTTTATCTTTTTTTCTGTTTCTATTAGATTATGTGAGCTGATAGAAACAGAACCAAGGGTTCAAAGTTGTGGGTCAGTGTGTGTGGAAACCTGCAGAGCTCGTACCATGTGTGGGGCGCTGATGGTAGCTTGGTAGCCTTCGGATTGAGAGAGAAGCACAGGTTCTGTTAGTTCATCCCTCAGAAACAAGAGTGGACAAAATGTCAGGAGAGGACGCACCTATTGACTGCGGCGAGTCCATGTATGGATTACACCTGGAGTAATGTGCTCTGTCTGTGGACAGCATGACTTCATACACCTTGTCAGATTTAATAATGCCATTTTCTGAGGAAGAGAGAGTTTGTGTCCCTTAATTTATCACGATAAACAATATTAATTTTGTTTTCAGACCATTTTCAACTAATATAACAAAAATGGAATAATAATGCAAGAACACTTTGTCAAGAAAGTTTAATTGGAGCTGGAAGACATTTTAAATATCCACAATTAATAAATAGCAAATAAAATGAAATCATTCATCACTTCTTCCTGCAGCATCTTGCGCCAGCAGCAGGGAAAGCCACCTGCAGCCAGTTTCTCGTTACTCGCTCTCCTCACCCTCACAGCTACGCACAAGACACAACGGCACAATCTGCACAAGCTGCTACACGGACACCTACGACAAACTGATCAAATCTAAATTGCAAATAAAGCCATGCTTCAAGCTGTTTTTGGCTCGTTCTACATTTCTCTTTGTTTATTTAAATCTTGGGGGTTTTTTTGCCAAAATAACGTGAATTCAACACGATACATTCAGTTCAGGAGACGTGTATTATATTCGCTGTGGTTAACCAGCTCAATAAAACGACTCCAGTTTGAAAACAACCTTTACAGAGAAAGTAAATTAGTATGCGTTCTACGTGTGACCAGTTTTAAAGCACAATATGCTAATTTCCATTTGTGCCTAAATAGGTCAGTGTACGACAGAAACGAGCACAAATCCTAAGTCTAAATAAAAAGTCATCTTGACTCAATTACTGGGCTTTTATAAAAGTCGGATGCTGGAGACATTGCTTTTCATTTACAAAAACAGAAAACCAAACTTCTATTCACTGTAAACAGCCAATTACAAATGAAAAATATCAACATTTCTATCATGCTAATGGCAAACAGCTTGAAGTGCAACAATATCCTGGAGAGAGTGACATATAAATAGATCTGCTGAGATATTAAATAGTGAAAGTAGACTTGCAAACCACAGTCGTTAGATATCTTCATGTCATTTACTACATGAGTGTGAAAAACATGTCAGGGAAAAGTTTTCTTGCGACTTTATTACTGGTGACTGCAGACTTGATCACAGTGGACTTAGAACTGCATCAGTCTCAGTTTTATTACAGCTGGAAAAGTAATAAAAGCCGCAGGAGCTTGAACGATTTCTTTCTTTCAGATAAAGCTTATTTTCAATCCAGTTCTTTTACATTAACTTTTTTTTACGCCACTTAACATAGTACTAAAAAAATAACATTTTCATTTGCTTTATGCAGAATGGAGTTGCAGAAAATTGTCCATCCCACATTTGTTGTGACACAGCTGGCTGAAAGGTCGTCATACTATCACTTTCTTAGAAAAACTAAATGGTAACCTGGACATTTATCACTGTAGAAAAAAGACAAAGCTGAAGTTTTCTTTCTATTTTTATTTACATGAGGGCAAGTAGAATTATTTAAACAACCAATTAATGTTTTCAACAACATGTGCAAAAAATAAATACAAAAAATTATTTGAAACATGTTTACCCAACATAAAGTCATAAATTATAAATAATTTATATCTTACTTTCAGGATTTAATTTAAAAAGAATCAAGCTGGTTCTTGTTATTTTTTGGGAGTTTTTTTAATCAAAACAGAACATTTTTATTTGTTTTTAAAAGTAAATAAGTATAAAGTAAATATAACATGTTTGGCTGAATAACAGAAATATTTTAAGTAAATCATAATAATAAATTTTAATCAAAATAAAGACAATATATCGTGCAAATTAAATTCTGTAAAAAAATTTTTTAGTAATTTATGGTTTATTTTTGATTGTGAAATTAATAAAATGGAGTCAAATGTATGGCTATGCTACAGTCTGGGCGTTAAGACATGATATTGTGGCGAATAAGTCGAAGAAAAAGTATTCAAGATTTTAAAAAAGCTAAGCCAAGCAGTGGTGAGTGACTCGGTGCCTTTGCACAGTGCTAACCAATTGTCTGCCGCAAATTTGAAAGAAAACTGCATTTCCCTTTCTTAAATCGTGCACTAGAAACTCGTGTAATATTTGCAGCTGTCACTGTCATTCACGTGGATGTGCAGTCAAAGATTCAGACATCAACAAGGGTGGGCAGGGCTGCACAATCCCAAATGACGCACATACGGCTAACGGGCTAAGCTAACGTTTCCCCGAGACTTTAGCTTTGTAAGATCACACGGCACAAAATGAAGGGAATATGTTAATATTTATGGTTTGTTTTCTTGTCCTGCAACGACACAGGCGCGAATCTGTTCCACACGTGAACGTGGTTTGCAGGAAAGGGGTGGGGAGAGAGGTAACGGTAGGTCAACAAACAGCTTAGCAACCAGCTAGCTTAGCTACGCCGATCCCCTTGCTAACGCCAAGGCTCCGAAGTGCACCGATTTACGGCGACCAGTCGGTAACACGGCGACGGCGCTGCCGCTCTCACATGCATTCGGACTTACTGCGGAGATTGTTAACGAGCTCTGCGTGGCTGGCTCCTCCTGATTTCCACGCCATTATCAAGCAGACTTTGCGGAGTAAGTAGACAGCAGCTGTCAGTGCCGCGCCTGCGCCAACGGTTTTGCCAATGAAGCTGACAACCTCCAAAGGAGACGGCGGAGCGGCGGATACGTCACCGGACATCCAAATGAGTTTTAGCGCCTTTTCAGAGACACGTCCGAACGGAAAACGGCGTCATTTCTGTTAACGGTTGATTTATTTGAATGTGCATCAAAAGCTGTGTTGGCTGAGAGGCATTAAATCCACATTGCTCTGTCACAGTGAGATTTGCCGCAATCACACAACGGTTTACCACTAGGTGGCGTAAAGCTTCATGGACGCATGGGAAATGCTTAGTTTTACGTTTGAACCTCCTGCGCCACCGTAGCCACGTACAAAACAGCGGGCGCGTACGTACAGCTAAGCTAACTTCAGCAATTAGAATAATAAAGATACATTTTTAAGTATTAGAAAGTGGGTGTTTCAATGGAAAGTGCTAAATACGTGTCTCAGAAAATCAGCAAGACGAGATGGCGTCCAGTGTCGTATTCGTCTTTGCAGCAGCCCGATATATTTGCGACTGGATCGTGGGACAACGAGGTTAGCAGCCGTTTTATTAAAGTCAAATTCAACATTAACCACGTTTGTTCTTTGTTATTTATTCATATCAGCATTTTGTATCGATCGAAGTATGTAAATAAAATCTGTTGTAAACAGTAGGTTACGTTTTGTTATGTTTTTGCTTGGCAAGCGTTGTGTAATTTGCTGCAAAGTTGCTAGACATAATTTTTGCTACTGATGCTAGATGCATATTCATATATCTTGGGAATTTCTGTATGAAATCTTTAACAATGTTACAGTACTGAACATTGCTTGGAATGTTGTCTTGGTCCTAATTTGTGTTTTTGTTTGTTTTTCACAGGAGAACAAGGTCTCTGTTTGGTCTATTGGGAATGCAGGCAGTTCTGGTCTGGAAGATGGATTTGAAGGAGACCCGCAGCTCATCTGTGAACATAAGTACGACGGGGATGTTCTTGACCTCCAGGTAAGACACGATCTTTAAATTGGATGGTTTCCAATCGGTAATTCCAATGAAAAGTTACTTCACTTAACTTCAACTTTCTTCTAGTTTTTGGACCAAGAGAGAATCGTCACAGTATCGTCTACAGGAGCAGTTACCATCTTCCGCCAGGATCACAACAGTCAGGTAAAGTCAGACGTGCTCACATTTTCAGCAATGAAACATCATTTGTTGTGTACATTCTATAAAGGCTGGGCTGTCCTGAGACACACGAGGTGTATTTATGAGAACAGCATGTTGAATGAACCCTTGCATCAAAGTTATAGCATCTTTGATGTTCTTTTTTTTTCTTACATTTGCAGACAATGTCCATTTGTAAGCATTGGGCGAGAGCCCACCATTACCCGTGTGACAACGCTCCCAGCACTGGAGTCGCCTGCAACAGTCCTGAAATTGTAACGGTCGGTGAGGACGGGAGGATTATTGTGTTCAGAGCTGACCAGGAAGGAGTGGTTCGAGTTATTGGTGAGAAAAACACTAAACTCCTGCGTAGGGCTGAGCATTATCGTCTAAAAATAAAATCTCAGATTTTTTTATACTAGATCCAATTTTTAAAAAAGATTTCTTAATTTTTTTTTCTAAAAAAGACATAAATGACAGAAATGGTTTTCAAAAAGTGGCTTCTACTTCAGTCGACCCTGACCTGAATTCAAAATCCAAATGAATAAAAGCTTTAAAACAAGCAAGATGGCCGCCATCAACTTCACTCTGAACTATGAAAACCCAAGGAGGGAATTGGTGGGAAAAAAATCGGAATTTTCCAAAAAAATAAAATGTAATGAACCGACTAAAATCAATTTATCATCCAGCTCCACTTTCAATCCTGATGGCCTTTTCTTTAGGAACCCAGTGTTGAGTTAGGAGGAAGCTGCTAATTATTCTGTTGCTCAACCTGTGTTAGAGAATGCAGACAGCAGCACGCTTCATGCTGTGACTTACCTGAGGACAACAGAAGTCTTGACGGTGAACTCCATCGGCCAGCTGAAGCTGTGGGATTTGAGGCAGCAGGGCAACTCGCCATCACAGATCCTATCTTTGTAAGACAGTTTATGGAATAACAATATTTTATTCTACTTTATTTGCTTCTGATTAGACTTTTTTTTTTTCCTCAACCAGGTCGAGAGATCGAGTGCCTCTATACTGTGTTGACAGACATCCAAACCAGCAGCACATCGTGGCTACAGGAGGCCAGGATGGAATGCTCTGCGTCTGGGACGTGAGACAAGGCAACATGCCCTTCTCTCTCATGGAGGCACACTCAGCTGAAAGTAGGATTCATTTTCACATTATTTAAAAATTTCAACCACTTGACATTAAGCTTATTAGGCATTAGGTTTGGCTTATTAGATTAAAATTACTTCCAACTGGGTGCTTAGGTATTTGTAATTTGGCTGCTAACACAAAATAATGTTAAAACCATCTTAATTATTTTATAATTAAGATAGTTGAGTCACTTGATTCAATAAAAAGGTCAAGTTTTTAAGAAAATGGCAACTTATCAATTAATCATTAGTGCATCGATTGAATCAATCAACTTAACTCATTAATGATGACTGGCATCCCTCCTGATGTTGCTGATGTTTTCTGTCTTTGTTTTTTGCGAGCAGTGTGGGAGGTTCACTTCCACCCGACGAACCCCGATCACCTGTTCACCTGTTCAGAGGATGGATCACTGCTGCACTGGGAGACTTCCTCCCCGTCCGAAATGCCCTCCTTTTTACAAGGCGAGTATCTTTTAGGGTTGTTGTATGCGGGCCCAGGCTTATTCTGTGCTTTTATTTATATGTAGTGAAAATATATGATCACCTGCGTATCCATGTTGGCAATTAATATTGCACAAAAAACCGAGAGATAAAAGCTGAAAGTGGCTGTTGACCAGAATTTGAAGATTATCAGTGTTGGTGCTGCAGCAAGCAATTATTTGGTATTCTATTTATTACTTTGATGATAAATTGGCTAATTAGATTTTACACATTCTGCAGATATTTAATCAATCCGCTTAAGCTTATCTCATCCAATATTAAAAACACGTAAAGACAGAACAGAATAAACATGTTATTGCTTGAAATACAATAACATATCATTCCTTCAGCGAACGTTTGATTATTTTTAGCAAATTAATTATCTGCAGCTAAAGAGACTTCTAATGTCAAAATGTGATAAGCTCAGCGCTTACTGCTGTATAGTTTTGGCTTCATTACTGCTCTGCCTGTCTTGTTCTTACAGCGAATGACTTTTTTTAGAGTCTGAATATTAAAATCACCAGATGATTAATTGATTACTAAATTAGTTGGCAATTATTTCAACAATCAATTCATTACAATTAATCGTTTCAGCTCTAATTGCAACGAGAAAGATAGAATTTTTCACAAAAAAAAACAAAGCTGGGAAACTTTTCAGATTAATTAATGTATTATTTTATAATAATATAAGAGATGTTATTTGACTGTTGAGTTTGTCAGACTGTTATCAGACAACATTTCACACTGGCTTATATACTGTAACATCGGCAGTAATCTAGGTCACATTTAAACAGTAAAATGTTGTATTTCTGTTTGTCACCAGGCGGCAGGAACAACAGCATGACGTCCCGCAGCGCCATGGCGCCCGCCGGAGGTAACCAGTCCATCATCAGCGCCTGGCTCCATGGAGACTCCAGTAAATCCCGGCTGGAGACGACGCACATGCTGCCCAGCCAGACGCTGTCTGTGAACAGCTTGGACGTGCTCGGCCAGTGTCTGGTCTGTGGGACTGACGGAGAGGCAATTTTTGTAAACAGACAGGTCCCAGTTTAACAGAGCTGTGTGTGTGTGTGTGCAAAAAAATATATGTTTTCATCATTTCAGGCACAACAGAGCCTGGAGTTCATTTATTGTCTCTCTGTTATTGTATTTTCATAATAAAAGTTGACAAAACACTGGAAGAGACCCTTTTCTTAATTAGTATGCATGGCAAATTTACATTTGCAGTGTTTGATTATTATAAATTAAAAAAATTTGCACACCATTTCAAAGAGAAATACATTTCGTACAGATACGTTTTAAAAATGAGTAAATAAAGTTGCAAACATTTTGAATTATTCTTATCTTTACCTCCATGGTTGATTTCCATTAAATCATGACTGTCAGATTTATTATGTTAGTAAAGATACAAAATACTCCTGTTACTTAAATAATTTGTTTTAACAAGATCCAGGTATAAAGATGGTGATGTGAGTGGAAAAGTTAGAAAAACAAAATCAAGAATTGGCTAAATTTATCAAATTTCACCTTTTAAAACAGCAATTTTTGTTTTTTCTGATCACACAAAAAATAAAGAGCAATTTCTTCATTCTGTTCCTCCATTGTGATGATGCTGTTTTCATTTAGTTTTACCTTTTCATGTGATCAGTTGATGTAGAAATTTTGTTTTTCCATCTAAAATTAATCAATTCATGGATTTTTCTAATTGCATGTTACTTTTATTTATTAAGCATTTAGTTTGTTTAATTCGCTTTTTTAAATTAAAATAAATGTTATTTTTATTTTAGAAATGAACATTTTTCATTAAGCTGTTTGCATTTTCATATTGATTCTAATTAGATTTTTTTTCTAGATTTCATATTTGTATCAATTTATTCTTTGATATTTTTTATATTCTGCATTTGCCATTTTTTGTTAATCAGATATTAATCGTTTTTATGTGTCAAACTCCAATTTTTAGATGTGCCACAGTGATGTCATTAAAAAGTATTGAATGTCTTCTATTAAATTGAGTATTTTTTTATCACAGGTTTATTTCTAAATGTTTTCCCCTCAGTATTAATTTTTATAATTACTTGCCACAGGTACACAACATTGGATTAAATGGTTCAATTACCTCCTTTTTCTATAGATAAGTGCCCACCTGTGACAAAATGAATCATGTTTTATCGAGTGAAACAACAATAACGTTAGCGGAACTTTATTTTGAAAACCGGAAGCACTTTGTGGGGTTTGTGTTTAGCTTTGTAGCTTGTACTTGTCATTCAGATATCCCTGGAATTTTAACACGACTAGGAACCAGCCAGCGGAGCACAACAAGGACGTTTTAGGTCAGAACAACATCCCTCACACAGAGGAACCACCGGAACCACTGCTGGTTGCCGAAATAGGAACAGGTGGTGAGAAAAGCGGCAGCTACAGACAGCGGTAAGTTGCTTGACGGGAGCTAACTGTTAAAAGTTCCGAGCTAGCAGGCTAACTTGTTGAATAGAGGCTAATTGACGCCTTTTCCACTCACAGGCCGTGCTGTTAGAATTCACACCGAGTTTAACTCGTAATTTTAGTCACCGACAAGTGGTTAGTATGTTATGTGAACCATTTAGATATTTGTGACAACCGATAAATGTTTTCCGACGCCTGAGAGTTAACGTTAAAGTCGCGCAAAATTAGCCTGCGATGCTAACAAAGCTAAGCAATTAGAAAGGGTCTTGGATCTTTAAAGTGAGCTATTTATCTGAAAGGAGTTTTGTTAAATTTAAGAAAACCAATATAGCTTAAATTGTGCTTTATAGATCCCAGCTCAAAACAACAGTTTTCTTTGTTTTTACTGCGTAATATTTGTGATCTGGTGATCTGGTAAATGTTTATCTGTGTTGATTGCTCATCTCTGTCTCATTTTGCCCAACCTGTTTGGTAGCATTACATGCATGCTTGCTTATCTTGCATGTGTTTGATATTGGATGTTTTCAGCAGCAGCATGCAGATGTGAAGTCAGACATCAGATACCCAGATCTTCATTTCTGCGGCGGACAGGTGGGCCGTCTTCTTCATCCATTATCATCGTTCATATAAATGCTTGTACATGAGGAGGAGAGGGGAGAAACCCGAAGGATACCGACAGATGAGACCCAAAACGTTCCCTGCCAGTAACAGTGGTAACAGCCAGCAGATGCTGCAGGAAATACGGAACAGCCTTCGCAACCTGACCAAACCCTCCGACCCTCCAAAAGTAGACCCTGTTGGACAAGCAAAGATGCTCCCTGAAGATCCGAGGCACCAGGGGCGCACCAGCACCCCAAAACATTCATTGTGGCTACAGGAGATCCGCAAGTCCTTGGTGCCTTTTGAGCGTATTGATCCTACCACTTCTGGCCTTGATCTTAACACGCAGATGGTACTGGAACCATCAATTGCTGGGTTTGAGGAGGTAAGATATCCCTCACAAATGCATAATCTTATGAAGATTTGTGAGCTTTTCATTCTGTTCATACCTCTGTAATTGACAAGAAAGACTTGGTACACTTTGTATAGAAGGAATTATTTTGAAAATGTCAGGTATGCAATGTGAAGTGACAAGTTTGTACAGTCACCAGTACAAAAGAAGTTTTACATCTGACAATCACCTTTTGGTTTGCACGATATCCAAGTATGTAGACTCAAAGTGCATCGTAGTAAAGCAAGTAAAGTTTGTTTAAAGCTTATAATAATGGCTAATGGGTCAATATCATGCTTTTGAATGTAAAAGTAAAAACAGACTCTGAGCATGATCGCTTATTTGAATTGATTTTCTAAACTAAGTTATGTTTATTTCTGTCTTCCTAGGGCCGTCGCGTTCCTTCAGACTACATGGTGAAGGTAAATTACCAGGACTCGATGAGGGAGCAGATGGCTGCTGCTAACACCAACTCAACAGACCTGAAAGCTCCAGGTATTAAGATCAGATCCACTGGGAACAGGGCAGGTTTTCACTTCTTTTTTTCTTTCTTTTATCCACACTGCCTTTTGATCCAGTGTCCATATTTGTTTGCAGGATTTAGGACAGCTGCTCAAAAAAGACAAAACAACCGTCAGAGAGTATGACTAATACCAAGCTCTTTAGTGCTATGCTTTCACAGACAAGTAAAAAGAAAAAAACTGATGCATTTATTTTTGTACCAATTGGCGTTTTCAATGTTTGAAAAGTTACACACTTTAAAAAAATCAAACTTTTAAAATGTATAAACAGGACTATAATATACAAATATAAAAGTGCAACAAATTGCAATGACATTTTAGGGAGCAATGACTCCAACTTTTGTGAAGACGTCTACAAATCTTTCACTAAAAAAATTATGATAATTAAATTTAGGCTGCAAAATGTTGGTTTTCCGGTTTCAAAAATTGAATTATTTCCTTCGATGTGTTTGTAATATTAAACTGAAGAAGGCTGAACTAGATTAATGAAAAATGTGTAGAATGTACCAAATATCTTAACTGATTAATTGATTAGTTATCAGAACAATCAATCACCAGAATAATAGATTAATCGTCAAAATGATTGATAGTTTCAGCCCTACAGATGATGTTACCCAGGTAGATAAAAATCCAGCCAGGTTTATGCCACGAGTGTGAAGGCTACAGAAAGTGTATAATTTTTATCACAGTTAACGTTTTGTGTTTGTGTGCAGGTCCATCTCACATGCAGCAGGTTGTGCTGCGCAGACCAAGTTGGAAAGAATCCAAAGAGTCCCTCGCTCCTCGAATGGGTCCCGTGATGGTGGACGGCATGATGTACCGCTCTGACAGCCCTGGACCTCCTCCTGTTTACCCACAAGGCCACTCTGCTAGCAACCAGAGGGTGAACCCTCCGCTGCCTCCTCAGGTGCGGAGTGTCACACCACCTCCGAACCGCAACAGCATGCCTCCAATGTCGTCCTGGGAAGGCAATCCGTCCACCAAGCGGTACTCTGGGAATCTGGACTACCTTCCTCCGCGGATGTCTCCAGTCCCCCAGGGCGCCCGGCAGGACATGTATCCAAACCCGGCGCCTCAAAATCAGCGCCCTGCTGCCCATAAATTCACCTTTCCTCCCACCTGGACTCAAAATGGCTCCGCTCAGCCGGACTGCATGCAGGGAGGCAACCGGCAGCCTCCGCCGCCTTACCCCGTAAACAGCAGACAGGGTTCCAACGAGCCGCAGCCTGCTTCGTCTCCTTCCTACCTAAACGGAGGAAACATCCCTCAGTCCATGCTGGCTCCCAACCGGAACAGCCACAACCTCGACATGTACAACCTGGCACCTCCTCAGACGTGGTCGCAGCCTCCTCTGGCGTCCAGTCAGCCACCACCTGCGTCCGTCACCAACAGCAACCAGGACTTGTCGCCGTCGTGGCAGCACAACATCCCGGTTCGCTCCAACTCCTTCAACAATCGACCCGCTCATTCGTCCAGCACCCAGCCGTCTGCGACCACCGTCACCGCCATCACGCAGACGCCCGTCCTGCAGCCGGTGAAAAGCATGCGCGTGACGAAACCCGAGATGCACACCGCCGTCGCTCCAACGCATCCACAGCGGATACAGCAGGTTGCACCTTCGCCTCCTGCGCCTGCATACCCCGACCCACCACCTGCGGTTTCTCAAGTCGTCGTGGAAACCCCCAGCCATCAGGGTCCGCCGCCGCCATATCCTAAACACCTCCTCCCTTCGCCCGCCCCTCCGGCGTACGCTGGAGGCAGAGACGAGGCTGCCGACGAGAGCGGCGGCGAGAAGGCGTGGGAAAGCAGCGAAAGCTTGGCCGCAGCCGAAAAAAAGATCACTACGTCGCCCGTCCCGGTCCGCCGCAACAGAGACGAGGAGCGGAGAGGGGAGTCGGGAAGAATCAACCTGTACTCCCCTCAAGCCTTCAAGTTCTTCATGGAGCAGCATGTAGAGAACATCCTGAAGAATCACCAGATGAGGATCCGCAGGAGGAAGCAGCTGGAAAGCGAGATGCAAAGGGTAAGAAGAAGGAAAAAACGCCTCTAAATTCAATCATTTTCTGCTTTGAGCTTTTTTTCAAACCTTTTTTGCACTTTTCAGGGTTCGTACAGCTGCTTGAAATCCTTGAAAATGCATTTATAAAGTCATTGGAGTATGGCTGTTAGATATGATTTATTTGTCTGTTGTTATTGGAAGTGATTTGCTCGGCTTAAAATATGCTGCAGTGTTTTTGTTATAGGTAGAAATTTTAAATCCATCAGAAAAAGGAAGGATTTACAAGATTTATACTAACGATTAATCGCGATTAATTGATTGTTGAAATTAATGTCGATGCTATTTTCAGGGTTTGTGCAGATGTTTAAAAATCTTAAAAGTTTTAATTTCAATTAGGTGTTTTCAAAGTTTGGAAAGTGCTTAATATTTAAACTGCACAGTTTTGTTTTTAAAGTACAATCTAATACTTGATTAAAAGCCTAAACTGCAATTGAAACCAGATATTTTAACTGAGGCTGAAAAGATTAATCATGAAGAATTGATTATTAAAATAATCGTCAACTAATTAAGTAACTAGATGAATAACTTATTCGTAGCAGTAATTAAACTGAAACTTTACAAAATGTTCAAACATTTTGCATTTTAGATAAAAACATCTTTGTCTATAAATATGTTTTAGTCAAAATGCCTCAAATGAAAGTTTTAGCTTCACCTGGTTCAAATTTGTATAGCTTTTTTGGCAATAAAATGTTTTTCTCATTTAAAATAGGATTATTGTTTTGATTATTTGCATTTTAATGCATTTCTAATATTGTGTAAAGAAGACAATGGTGGTAAAATGAAAAATCTGTATCGTGTGCCATTCTTCATATATAGATTTACATTTTTTGGCTGTCTGAAGTCAGACGAAACTTTTCTGGTTTTAAGTTCTTTATAATTACCAAAATTATTTCTTTTTGCTAAAAGCCAGAAGAAAACAGTTTTTATTGGATTTGTTTTGTGTGGTTTTGGTTTTTTTATGTACATTCTTTAGCAAGTTATTTTTGTTTGGATTGTTTAGATGGAATTAATAATAATGACTTATTGATCTGTGAAATTGCAATAAAAGGTTGGCTTATATTTTATATGTTGAAGTTTTGAAAATTTTGGCTTTTTAAAAAATTAAATTGGTGTTTTGTTCTCAGACCAGCCAAGTGTGTGAGAGAAGCATTTCAAAACATAAAATCTGCTATATTTTTAGTTCACCTTGTCCCTGCTGTGCAGAATACTGCCACAAGACATTACTAATTAATATTTTTTAGTTCATTTGTGCTGTTTTTAACTCCAAGTTTGAAAACTTGCCTTGAAGAATGCTTAAATTTTCCTGAGAAATTGTACGAACTCTCTTTTCTTAGCTGTTCTTTCTCTTCCCTCTCCATCCTTGCTGTCATTAACAGCTGATCTAAAAGGTAAACGCATCTTTGCTGTCCTGTATGCTCATGCATCGCTTATTCAGCAAGGTGTGTGATTTCTGTGTTTCTACTGGAAGCATGGTGTCTCTGGTGCATGCATGAAATCTCACGTCATACATATCATCAACTGTGATGCTTGAATATTTACATTCTGGGTCACAATGTGCAAAATTCAGGAAAATACGGCTGATTTAAATAATTTCAGCTGTATTTTTCATATATTTATTGGTTATTTGCACCAATAAAATGCACCAATCTGACTTTTTTCTGCTTGATACTGATCAATAATGTTCTTTGAGGTTTGACCTTTTTACCCAACCTTTTTATTACTGATGTTTTAAGGACTGTAATTATCCAAAATGAGAGAGAAATGTACTGCAGCAAGATCAACAAAATGTTTTTAGTAAACTCAGATAAAGTGCATTCTGTTGGTAGGTGATGCATTTGTTAAACCACTGAAAAAAATGTGATTTTTGAATGTTTGATCAGGGAGACATTAACTAATTGATTGGTGCATCTTTAGTTTTACGGCTGGGTTATATGACTTAAAATAAAATTTCTAATTTATTCACCTCAGATCCGATTTTAGTCAATAGTTTTTTTCCCTTTTCTGTGAGTTAGACGACGGAATATTAGTGCCAGGTTACAATAACTTAGTTCACAAGAATATAGTCATAAATTTCAGAGAAAAATGCCATTTCACCTCAAGAACATCTTAAAATTGCAAGTAATGTTGGTCTAATCAGACAAATCTAATTGTTATAAAGATTTAATGTGAGTTTCTAAGTTTCAGTTTTTTTCTCTTTGAAGTTTCTGAAAATAATTTGTTCCTGATGTGTTAAAAGATGATTTTCTTATTTGTAAAATCAACAACAAAAAAAAGAATAACTTCACAAGATGCTTAACATTATCATTTTATTTTCGGATTTGTTGTAAAATTACTTCATTCATATTATGACCTTTTTCATAAGGTCACATTATTTTGACTTTATTCTTGTTTGACTGTAATATTGTGTGAGTTATTCTCACAATTTAAAAATTGTAGCCTGGCTTTAATATCCATAAAAGTTGTAAAGTTGACCTGAATTTAAAGTGTAAATAAATAGAAGCTGTAAAACAAGATGGCTGCCTGAGCATGATGACATCACTCTAAAGTATATTTTTTGAAAACTTGACCAATAACCCAGCTCCGGCTAATACATATATTAATATATTTTATCTTTTTATGCTGTTTTGCATCTAACAAAATAACGCATTCAAAGCATTTTTCAGTTCCACTGACTCAGATTTTAACGAGTTTGTTTCCTAGGTGGGTTTGAGCTCAGACGCCCAGGAGCAGATGCGAATGATGCTCTCGCAGAAGGAGTCCAACTACATCCGCCTAAAACGGGCCAAAATGGACAAGTCTATGTTCAAACGGATCAAGACGCTCGGCATCGGCGCCTTCGGAGAAGTGTCCCTGGCGAGGAAGGAGGACACGGGGGCGCTGTATGCCATGAAGACTCTCCGCAAGAAGGACGTGCTGCTGAGGAACCAGGTGGCTCACGTGAAGGCCGAGCGGGACATCCTGGCCGAAGCCGACAACGAGTGGGTGGTGCGTCTCTACTACTCCTTCCAAGACAAGGACAACTTGTACTTCGTCATGGAGTACATTCCCGGCGGGGACATGATGAGCCTCCTCATCCGGCTCGGCATCTTCAAGGAGGAGCTGGCTCAGTTTTACATCGCGGAGCTCACCTGCGCTCTGGAGAGCGTCCATAAGATGGGCTTCATCCACAGAGACATCAAGCCTGACAACATCCTCATAGACAGAGATGGACACATAAAGCTGACGGACTTTGGGCTCTGCACTGGTTTCCGCTGGACACACGACTCAAAGTATTACCAGAGCGGTGGGTAACATTCCTCTTCACCTCATTTTAAATCCATAAAAATAAATATATTAATCAATATAAAATGAATGGTTGAGAGATATTTGGCGTTATAGTTCCTCTTTATGAAAGCCTGCACAGTTATTAGAGGTGGGTGCAATAGCCTGGCTTTTCATGATAGTTTCCCAGTTTTTCTTCTCAGAACTGTGACATAAATTACGCTGCAGAGTCCTCAAAATTAAAACCTGTCAGGATTTATCAGATTATACCAAGGCTGAAACGATTAATTAGACTACTCGACTGCTCAAATAGGCTTTTTTTTCGGGTTGGTATAGGTGCTTGAAATCACTAAACTGAAATTCATGCAAATTGAAATTTATGCATTTTCAAGATTTGGAAAGTGCTTGATATTCAAGCTGCACAGTTTTGTAATTAAAGTCCAACCATATCCTTGATTAAAAGCCTAAATTACAGTAGAAACCAAATATTTTAATGAGAAAAGATTAATTGTGAGTAATCGATTACTGAAATAATTGGCAACTAATTTAGTGTTTTACAGTCATTGAAATCCTTAAAAATGCTTGAATTTATATTTTTCAAGGTTCAGAAAATTCTTGATATTCAAACTGCAACGTTTTGTAATAAAGTGCGACGCTTGATTAAAAACCTAATTTAGAGTTGAAAACAAATATCTTAAGTAGAGCTGAAATGATTAATCATACTTAATAAATTACTGAAATAATTTCTACTAATTTAGTAAATAATTAATTAACTGGAGTGGACAGACTCAGAAAAACGCCATTTACTGAAAAGAATATTCAGAGCAGAAATTAAGCCTAAAATATATGAAATATAAATCCATTTTGCATTTATAAATGCAAAATATATATAAAAATGTGTTTCATCCAAAACTATTCCAGTGGTATTATTTTAACTTCACCTGGTTCCAGTTCATTAAATGCTGCTCTTGCACTTCAGGCGTCAGGATGTTTATTTTCTTATTTTAAGATGGAATTTTATTATTTATTTGTGTCATTTAATGCATTTATAATATTGTATACAAAAGACAAAGTGGTTGAATGCAAAACAAGTAGAATGGGGCAATTTTTTTATCTGATTAATAGTTAGTTGTTGGTGTAGATTGTACCAATTTATGCATCAAAAAATGAACTGTTAATTTTAGTCAGAGTTGTATTAAACTCAAACCAAACAGATCAAAGTGCAGTTTTTTGGTTCATGTGTTCATGAAGTTTATTTTGAACTCATGAGTTTTAATTAAAATGGAGGAAAAGGTCACTTAATTAACGATCTAGTTTAATTTATGTTTACACCTATAAATAATGCAAAACCTTAAAAAAATAAAAAATGTTCAGAAATGCAAACTTGATGAACAAATTAACTCCATTTTATTTCTTCTTTTAGGTATTAAAATAGAAAGAAAATGTAAAACCTTTGCAGAAAACGAGATGTTTTTTTTGTGGGATGTTGAAATATGTTAAATGAAAACAGAAGTATAAAACTTGATGACAAAAAATAGATCTAAAATAATATAATTTGCACTTATAGCATCAAACATTACAATGTTATTTTGACTTTATTTTTATTCCTTAAATTTTCCTTTAGATTCAATATTGCCCACAATCACAATCTGTTTTTCTGTAATTAAAACGGATAAAAACGAATTGTCTGAAAATGTCTTTAGTTTGTTGCTTTAGAAACTAAACAGATACTTTTCAAATACAGTTAGCTGACCTGACCTTCTGATTAATTGTATTAAACGAGTTTTTCTTGCTCGTTTAGTTCATGATGCATGCCAGAAATTCTCTTAATCAATAAAAAGACAGCAGGATGTGTGACCTCTCTGCAGGGGATCATGTGAGGCAGGACAGCATGGACTTCAGTAAGGAGTGGGAAGACCCGGCCAACTGTCGCTGCTCCAACCGACTGAAGCCCCTGGAGAGGAGAAAGGCCCGGCAGCACCAGCGCTGCTTGGCCCACTCGCTGGTGGGAACGCCCAACTACATCGCTCCAGAAGTCCTCCTTCGAACAGGTACCGACTAGAATATTCCACAGCAAGTAACTTACAATTAATTGTTTATTAGATTCAAATTGGCTCCAGTCGATAAACATAAAACGCCCACTTAGTCCTTCTCTCAGTGTTGTAGTTTGGCTTCCATCCAGCAGAGGGCGCCGCTGGTAATCCTTAAACCAGAGCCGTTGATTCAGAAACTGTAAAGGAAGGAAAAAGAGAAACGGTCGAAAGGGAATATGATACAGAATGTACTTTATGCGGTTTGATTGAAATATAATCAGTCGATAATTTGTTGTATTTTAAAATTATCTACATTTAATAACATGAGAACATCAATATTTCACCGCACTTTGTTACACTGATGTACTATTAGGTTATTGCAAATGTTCCATAATTGTGGTCAAAAACATTGCTAATTCCCACCTGAAGGTGGCGATATTTTACTTTCACTCTCCCACTGCTGCTTTTTACTTCAGGCTGTTCTTGTCCTTTATCAGTGTGGAGAGGAATAAAAACATCCCACTTACTGTCATACAAAGTCACAAATGTCTTTCCATGTCTGACTTAATCTCCACAAAATCAGTGATTTAGTGATTTTAATTGCAAAACAATCACATAAATAGTTGATGTAAAAAGAATTTCAGTATAATTTAATGTTATATGCAGATAGCTTATCTGTTATTGTAGCAGTTTGACTTTTATCAATCCATTCTTCCACAACTGGCCTTTGACAACATTGATTACCTTGTTATGGCCCAAAACGAAATAAGAAATGCATCAATCAGTAACTTGCATGTGACTGATGTCTGCTGCAGGATACACCCAGCTCTGTGACTGGTGGAGTGTTGGTGTCATCCTGTATGAGATGGTTGTGGGACATCCTCCGTTCCTGGCGAGCACACCACTGGAGACGCAAATGAAGGTACGCCAGTGCTGCTGCGCAGCGTCCTGCGGCCGCACGGTTTGCCGTCTCTAATGTCTGTGTTGTCGACACCAGGTGATAAACTGGAAGAGCACGCTGCACATCCCGCCTCAGTACAAGCTCAGCCCGGAGGCGTCGGACCTCATCGTCAAGCTGTGCCGCGGCCCAGAGGACCGCCTGGGCAAGAACGGCGCCGACGAAATCAAAGCTCACCCTTTCTTCAAGAGCGTCAACTTCTCCAGCGACCTGAGGCAGCAGGCGGCGCCGTACATGCCCACCATCGCTCACCCGACGGACACGTCCAACTTCGACCCGGTGGAGCCAGAAAAGCTGCGCAAGAGCGACGACGAGAGCAACCACAACGACACGCTGAGCGGTTGGTTCCGCAACGGGAAGCACCCCGAACACGCCTTTTACGAGTTCACCTTCCGCCGCTTCTTCGACGACAACGGCCACCCCTACAGCTGCCCCAAGCCCATCGAGTCCGAGGGCAGCGACGAGGACGAGGCGGAGCTGGACGGCGCCGAGCAGGACACGCACGGCCCAGACCTGGTGTATGTGTAGTCGCTCGTCGTATGCCACGGAAACCTTTTTATTCTGCATTCCCTCCCTTTAAATATGCAAATACACCTCATATTATTAACATGAACACAGTCACATTAGGCGTGTTTCCATTACAAATGTGCTCAAAAACACAATTACAGCCTTTCCATTTAATAAGAAATGCAATTAAAATTGCATTTCATGTGTGGATAAGTTCGTTCATGCAATGAGTCATCAAAAAACACGCCGTGACATCATCCCCCATCATTCCTGCCATCATCTTCATCGTTTCCTCCAGGAATAAAATCCAGATCATGTGACTCATCCTGTAGAAAAACTTTAGTTTTTTCAAAATTGACGCGATTCAGCAAATTAATTTTCATATGCTGAGTGGAAAAAATGCTGGAAAAACACAATTTTGGTGTTTCCATTTAATGAGAAACGCATTTGAATTATCACTGCACATGGAAACGGCTCTTTAAGACACAACTAAAACTATCAGACGACCCTGTAAAAATAACTCCGAAGACAAATAGTTTGCATATATTTTTTCTTCCCTTCTTATAAAATCTTTCCGTCATGTTTGTGTTTAGAGTGCGGCTGATCATTTTCAACACAAGTTTGTGATGCGTTTATCCAAATGAAGAAGATGTAAAACTCTAGATGACTCACAAATGAGATATTAATAGAATTCCTACATAAAAAAAAAAAAAAACTTAATGTAGGAGAAAGACGTTCAGCATTCATAATGCAACATGAACTATTTCAAGGGAATGCAAAAGAAAATATTTTCCCCATGTCCTCCAGGGGGCGCAGTAGCATATAGACTCTTAGTTGGGTGTTTGCTAGATAAAGCATTTAAAACCTTGAATATAGGAAGAATATTTCTGCCGGATCGCAGCAGGATATGATCGAAAAGCCAGATTTACACGTTAAAACGGAACTGACCTGGAGTCAGTTTATCGAAAATTCCCTGAGGGAGTCACTGGGATCGAATAAAAATCTAAACTGTTATTTTTACAATTTTCTCCATGAGAGTACAAATTAATACCAGTAAATTATAGTTGCTGTGTGCAGCTTATTGACCTAAATCCTGATTACTAGAATCACAAATGTAGGAGAAAGACGTTCAGCATTCATAATGCAACATGAACTATTTCAAGGGAATGCAAAAGAAAATATTTTCCCCATGTCCTCCAGGGGGTCGTATTTGTGAATCTTAGAAAGATTCACAAAGACATCAGCTGTTGACGATTTTCAGTTTCATCGACTCTTTCGGATTTATGACTCGGATTTATAATAGTGAGAGAGAGCCAGACTTTCAGCAGATAACAGGAAGGCTAAACAGAGTTTTGCTCCGTTTTATTTTTCTAAGCGTCTAACTTGCAGTTAGGACTTTAATCACAAGAATTAGTGGTATTTATTCACATAAATCCCTGCAAAACGGAGCACTGTAATTATGTTTAATCTTATTTTTATTGAAGCTCTGATACCATAAGAATGAAATGGTAAACATCACAATCACAACCGTACCAAGTTCTTACTGTCTGTAAGAATCAGTTTATCGTCATAATGATTCATTAAAAATATGTTTCCAGATTAATATACATATATATATATTAATTAAGATACAGATCTGTTTTATTAGGGGAAACATACTTTTTAGTCATTTCTAAGAGAAATGGTTAAACAGTTTATTATATATTAAAACAGTAAAATATTGACTCCCATAACTGTAAAATCAATATCGAAGCATGAGAAATTTGACTTTTGCAAATTATTTTGCAATTTAAAAGTGATTTTTATTTATTATCATAATTGATGTCTTTCCTAAAGAGTTTTATATCCTCACCGTCTTGTTGCTTAATCCAGATTCTAAGTTGTCACCATTTCTCTAAAGAAAAGGGCATTTTAAGCCTGTTTTGTGCACATAAATAGTAAATTTCTGTTACAGAATCAGATCTGCCTGCGTGCAAAACTAATGGCATTAATGAGTAATTCCATTTTTAATGTAAATATTTTAAAGTTTTGACCAGGGTGCCGCTATCTATGACAACTTATCGCTATCCCCCGGTAAAGCCTTAATTTATTGATGCTAGTGTAGATGCTGCTCAAGTCTATTTTTTTAAGTCTTAATTTATATTTTAGTTTATTGCAAAGGGGATTGTAGAATTGTGGTTCATATAATTCACAGGGATAATCACTCTAATTAGTATTCATTGCTGTGCCTTTTTGAGTTATTTTTCACCACTGGCATTTTTAAAATGAGTAGCTGTAGCTGATTGTACTACAGTAGGTTTGTTTTATTTTTCTAATTTATATCTAAAATGTATTTATAAATTAAGTTGTACACCATGGATGTAAATATCTTCTCTGCCTTTTAAGCTGCTTTTTGTTTCCTCTTTTTGGGCAGGCCCTCTTCTGTCAATATGTACCTTATTTTTGGCACTAATTTACAGAACACTTATTAGTTTTAATTTTTATTTTAGGTTTCATGCTTACATCTCAACCAAAGCACTAAATAAGGGGTTATTTTTTATTCTACTTTTTACCAACTGCAGAAAGTAACAGTAATTACTTTTCTTTTTTGGATTTATTACATTTAGGTATCTGATTACTGCAATATTTGGTCTGAAGTTTTACTTTAGTAAAAAAAAACACTAAAGTTACCTTTATATTTTGTTTTTTGGCCCCACTGTATTTTTTCTGTGTAGGAAAGAATATCTGAATGTAGTTTATTGATTTAATAATGACCACTGTCATTCTGCACTGGTTTTAATTGTGAGAGAATTTTATTTTTGTGTACATTTTTGCTCCCAAAGGTTTGGGAAGAGGGTAATAATAATAATAAAAAAAGGAATAAGAATTGTTATGCTTGGCTTTCTCATTGAACTGAGTGAAAGATGTTTGAAATGTTATGATTTGCACCATTTTCAAACTGCTTTTATATTTTAAACTGGACATTCAAATGCAAAGCAAAGTAATAAAAATATGGGCAATTGACTAAAATGCTAATGATGCTGTAAAACTATTGGAAGTTATGGGTCAGAAAATTTTGAATAAATCACGATAAGTTGATGTATATTCAGCTTTAAAGTAAAGAAATAGAAAATATTCCCCAAGTTTCTCATTCCTTCATATACAACCTTGATCAACAAGAAAGTATCAAACTTTCTTGTGGCTAGGGTGATTTAAATCAAAAGTGCGTTTTTGTTTTCATACAGATTCCGGTTAGACATGTAAACAATCAACTTGTAGTTTGGCCTGCAGAGGGTGCTGCTTCCATATTAGTGTATATTTTAGATTGCTACTAATTTACTAAAGCAAGTAAAGGGTTTAACAGACAATATTTTGGATCAAAAAGCACCTTTTACATATTTGGGCTACAGGAAGTAAGTTTATATACTGTACAGCTGGATCGACTGTTCTGCCTGTTGTAGGCCAGCAGATGGCGCCACCGACTGGAAACGTCCTTCCAACCTCTGACACTCCTCTCTTCCCCCAGAGTCAAAAATCTTCATTTTAAAATGAAAGAAAAACTTACCTTCATCTGGAAAGATTCGGTTCTGAACTGGTCCCAGTTAATTACTGATTTAATCACAATAAATTAAATTAGATTTTTCTTTGACAAAACACCATTTTATGCTGGGTGATCTGTTTCTGGGTGACATTCTTCAAATTAAAACTTTTTTCTAGTAAGATTTGCACCTTATAAAATCAACATCAATACTGGCTCTTTTGTGTAGCTGCACAAGGTAAGCCATTAAAAATGTTAAATGTAAACTTTGAGTTAAATGTAAACTTTGAATTTTTACTAAAGCCAGATAGGAAGCTAATTATTTACGTAGAGGAAGTTCTGGTTAGATAGGCATCACATGAAGAAGCTGAAAAAGATCAACCTACATTGTTATAAAAATGTTTATACTTTCTTTACTATTATAACAATGTTATTAAAAATTCCTAAAGACTTTTTGAGAACACAAAAACCCTGTTTCAAAAATCAGAAGTCACTTTAATTTTAAAATTTTACAGCTTTTATGGCTTTTGACTTAAGATTTAATTAGAATATACAGCCCAATTAATTTGTCAAATTAAAAATAAATTAATACTTTTCATAAAGACCACATTTCTGTTTTTAAATCATTTATTGGTTTTAAATTTAGACGTGTTTTTCACTAGATGTTGGAAACTTTAATGGAAAGTTACTTTTCAATAATGTTTCTAATTTGTTGAAGGGGTCTGGTTTTAATAAAATAAAAATTCTACACAAATTATCTTCATAATTATTGTTTACATTGTACAATAATTTTTTCCTGATATTTTTAAGAATAGGTGAAGAAAATAAGCTCCGGCCACCAGGGGGCGCCAAGTGACAATGATTTTTATTTTTGTTTCAAAGAACTGTTTTTATTCCCAATTCAGATAAAATGTTTAAGGACACAATCAATAGAAATTTATGAAAAAAGTCATTTTAATTTAGTGTGCAACTATGTTGAATATTTATTACAAGAAATAACCAGTATACTTTTCTTAATTTTCCATTTAATATGACGGTTTTGTTATGTAAAGTTGATTTAAATGCATTTATTGATCCAAATATGCAAGAGGATTTCACTAAAATATAATTAGTGCCAGTCGCTGTTTAACTGAAAGGTTCAAATAACATTTATGTACAACAAATTACAATATTACAGAGTATTAGGACCAGGCTAAATTACTAGAATAAAGTCAAAGTTAGAAGAAAAATGTAAAGTCATAATACGAGAATAAAGTCGTAATAATACAAGAATAAACTCATTGTCATACGACTAATTTTAGAATGAATTGTAATACGAGAATAAACTCAATATTATGATAAAGTTGAAGTAGTGTCAGAATAAACTCATTATGAAAATAGTATGACAATAAGTCAACGTAATACAAGATTAAACTTGTAATAGGAAAATAAAGTCGTAATAATATGAGAATAGTCGTATATTACTATTTCAACACAGTAGTATGAAAATAAAAACGTCATAATACGAGAACATTAAAGTCGTACAACATTAAGTCAACATAAGATGAGAATAAAGTCGTAATATGAGTAGAATGAAAATTTTACTATGATTCCAACACTAAAATATTAAAATGTTGAGCATCTTGTTAAGTTATACTTTGGAAATAACTTTCTCATAATTTTACTACTTTCTTCCACTTTATTCCTGTAATATGGCTTAATTCTAATAATTCAAAAGACCCAATACTTTGTTGTACAACAGTTTTAACCACCGATTTAAATGATTGTTTTTATCATCAGCTATGTTAAAAGACACCAGTTCAGAAACAGACTTTGATTCGCACATGATTGAGGACAAACAAGTTAACTTAAACAAGCTTATTTTTTTAATGGATCTGCAAAACTGTTTGAATTTCCAAAGAGAACTCATGTAGCTCCCGCCCAGTTACCCAGTGGCAAACGTTACACAATGTTACAGAAACGTCTCCAACCCAAAGGAACCTGCATGCAAAAAACAAAAAAAACTGGGGAAAAAAAACATAAAAAAAACAAACTCAAATATAAAGTAAAATAATCCATACAGATAAAAATAAAATATCAATAAACAGGACATACTGTATAATGCCGTTCTCTTGGCTGAAGGAGAAATTCAAACGCTTTAGATTCCGACAGATTATTGAGCTGTAATTTCATTGGGTAGATGTGGCTCCACCCACCACAAAGCCCCGCCCCTGTCTTCCATATAAGGCACAGGACAAAGTAAACCCCACATACAAAAGGAGCTAGCCACGCCTCTGTCACTTGGTAAAGAATTGTAAATCAACAAATACGGTAAGATGACAGAAAGCCCACTAAAGTGTACAAAATGTTTTTTCCTATTTATATATTTCCATTTTTATCTTTTTTTTTTTTTGCCTGATTTTGTTTTGTTTTACTTTGAGTTCCTCAAGGTGAGAGCTGAGGGTGGGCGGCGTTGATGGGACAGGAGGAAGTGAGCTCAGGCAAAAAAAAAAAAAAAGGAAATATTAAACATATGTAACAATTTAAAACAAATGACAAGAAACGTGACTGGATTTCTCCTTTTATCAGAAATAAAAATGATCATCAGATGCACGGTGGAGGAACATGAGGTGGAGGAGAACGGGGTGGGTGGGGCGTTGCTTAGACGAGTGAAGCAGTTTATCGTTTTATTCTGATAAAGAGACAAAGTGTCAGTGTGAGAGAAAACTCATGAGACAGGTTAAGAGGGCGAGACGGTTAGAGTTAGCAGTTAAAGAGATTGTGTGTGTGAGAGAGAGAAGGTGTGTGTGTGGGTGTGTGTGTAGGTGTGTGTGCATTAGTGTGGGTGAAACTGAGTTGTTGTTGTTCAGCTGCAGCACTTGCTCTTCCAGCCTGTTACTCCACCTCCACTGCTGATGTCCACATTTTCACTGTTGGGCTCTTTTACAGGCGTCTGTGCAACAAAAACAAACATCATTAATCACACAGCAGGTTTAGGTTCTCGCCAGTTATGTTTACTTTAGTTACCTTTTTTGACAAAATGTACTTCTTGCTTTTACCAGAGTAACTTTACTACCAAGTATTGCTCGTCTTCTGTGAGCAAACTGTCGAATATTTAACTGAAAATTCACCAGATTGATGCCTTCAATTTCTGATCAAGTTTTATATTCAAAGAAACAAATTTGTTTTTTTGCCTGATTTTGTCATTTATGTTGGCTGAAGAGGGAATTTTCAGATATTAAATATTTGATCATTTACTTGTCACTTCATGGGATACGGAAATATGGATGAGCACAAATGTGTGTATGTGGACTGAGGTTAACGCATACGAGTGTTTGGGTAGATTTGGATGAAATGGAAAATGAATTAACCTACGTTAAGATTTTTCTGTTATTGCTCTAATAATGAGGTTCCATTTGAAAACATAGTAAAAGTGTCTTTTGCATTTCTCGTTTTTGTCTGTTATATATTGTTACCATCTTTGAAATAAATAAAAACTCTTGAGTAATTTCTTGGATGCCTACTTTTTACTTTTACTTGATTTTTACTAAAGTAAAATTTCTGGATTTCCTACCCGTTTAATAAAACAAACATGTTTTAACCAAACTAATTTGGAAATATTTTCCTTTGCCTGATATTGTTATTTATATACTTTATCGTCATTTTGGTTCTTAAAATACCTAAATTTCCCTTTAACTTTATATTTTGGTCTGTCTGATGTAGTTTTTTCATTTTAAGTGATTGATAATTTGATCAGTTACTCTGTAATTCTTTCTGGAAGAATTTCTTGGACCGCTACTTTTTAAATTTTAAGTAAAATTAAATTTTGGATACACCTTAATAGTACAAAAAACATTAGAGCATACAGTGATTTAAGTTAATATGATGCATTCAAAATGATCCAAAAGTTCAATTAAACTCTCTGAATAAGCAACGTCTTGACGTGTAGCTGAATGTTTGGTCAGATTATTTAAACTGAAGATGTAAATCCTGTCAGAAACTCTTGCAGCTTGTAGTTAGTTATAGTAAATGTTACTTCAACATATTAAAGAAAGCTTAAAACGTCAACTCCATCATTTTGTTTTAAAATATTTGTTAGAATTTTGTTTGATGTTGGTAGAAGGTTTGAGCATGTATCAATAATAATAATAAATTAAGTAGTGATTTGGCAAATTAAAGGCTTCAATATTTAAAGGCGTCCTGCATGATTTACCAACGGAGGTGTAAAATGATTGATTTCGTTTAAATATTTCTGCAATAATTTGACGTTTTGCTTCTCTCCTGATCAAATTGAAGGGAACAAGTCCAGGAAGACTTGCGTTATCACCAGATGCTCTTTCTGATCCCCAGACTGCGTTGATCATTTATCTGAAATA